TGAAAATACCCGCTACAGATCGAGGACACGAATGCAAGAAACGTGCACAAAAATACTCGCTACAAAAGATAAGCACATAAGTAAAAGTACAAAATCATGCACAAAAGTACTCACGCAAAAGTGCATTCGCAAAAATGTTCATGAAAACACAAACTACAATCCTAGGACATTAATACAAATCAACAAACATGCACTATCACACTCGCTCAAATGGACATGCACAAAAGTACATGTAAAAAAAGATGCGCAAAAGTGCATTCACAACAACGTTCTCAAAAACACGAAATACAACACTAGTACTTTAATACGCATAACCAAACAACAGCAAGAACACTAGATACAAAAAGATACAGTGGAGTGTAGAAATAACACTCAACGTTTACGTTTACGTGGATTTTTTTATGGATTAATTTATATTTCTGTTTTAATTGGTGGATTTAGTATTCTATAGGTACAAATTGATAATGAGGTGTCCATGAAGCAAAAATGATAAAAGAGTAAGAAAAGAGTTGCAATTAGGAAATTAAAATCAAATTAGAAGAGAGGATCCCTCAACATCTTCGGTAGTGTCCACGAAGTCGAGCATAACATTCTCATCCGGACTCCAAATCAACTGGTTCCGGCGGCATTAGAAAGCTATTTCAACTGGCTACAATTCTTGTCTAATGTCAAATTTCCAAATTCGGACTCGAACATGGTCAAAATTGGATTCCAAAAGCGATCATGAAAATACCCGCACAGTTCGAGGACACGAATGCGCATCAAGAAACGTGCTCAAAAAGACTCACTACAAAAGATACACACATAAGTAAGAGTACAAAATCATGCACAAAAGTACTCACGCAAAAGTGCATTCGCAAAAAGGTTCATGAAAACACAATCTACATTCCTAGGACATTAATACAAATCAACAAACATGCACAAACACACTCGCTCTAATGGACATGCACAAACGTACATGTAAAAAAACATGCGCAAAAGTGCATTCGCAACAACGTTCTTAAAAACACGAAATACAACACTAGGACTTTAATACGCATAACCAAACAACAACAAGAACACTAGATACAAAAGAAACAGTGGAGTGTAGAAATAACACTCAACGTTTACGTTTACGTGGATTTTTTTATGGATTAATTTATATTTCTGTTTTAATTGGTGGATTTAGTATTCTATAGGTACAAATTGATAATGAGGTGTCCATGAAGCAAAAATGATAAAAGAGTAAGAAAAGAGTTGCAATTAAGAAAATAAAATCAAATTAGAAGAGAGGATCCCTCAACATCTTCGGTAGTGTCCACGAAGTCGAGCATAACTTTCTCATCCGGACTCCAAATGAACTAGTTCCGGCGGCATTAGAAAGCTATTTCAGCTGGCTACAATTCCTGTCTCATGTCAAATTTCCAAATTCGGACTCGAACATGGTCAAAATTGGATTCCAAAAGCGATCATGAAAATACCCACTACAGTTCGAGGACACGAATGCGCATCAAGAAACGTGCACAAAAACACTCGCTACAAAAGATACGCACATAAGTAAGAGTACAAAATCATGCACAAAAGTACTCACGCAAAAGTGCATTCGCAAAAATGTTCATGAAAACACAAACTACAATCCTAGGACATTAATACAAATCAACAAACATGCACAAACACACTCGCTCTAATGGACATGCACAAACGTACATGTAAAAAAACATGCGCAAAAGTGCATTCGCAACAACGTTCTTAAAAACACGAAATACAACACTAGGACTTTAATACGCATAACCAAACAACAGCAAGAACACTAGATACAAAAGATACAGTGGAGTGTAGAAATAACACTCAACGTTTACGTTTACGTGGATTTTTTTATGGATTAATTTATATTTATGTTTTAATTGGTGGATTCAGTATTCTATAGGTACAAATTGATAATGAGGTGCCCATGAAGCAAAAATGATAAAAGAGTAAGAAAAGAGTTGCAATTAGGAAAATAAAATCAAATTAGAAGAGAGGATCCCTCAACATCTTCGGTAGTGTCCACGAAGTCGAGCATAACTTTCTTATCCGGACTCCAAATCAACTGGTTCCGGCGGCATTAGAGAGCTATTTCAATTGGCAACGATTCCCGTCTAATGTCAATTTTCCAAATTCGGACTCGAACATGGTCAAAATTGGATTCCAAAAGCGATCATGAAAATACCCGCTACAGTTCGAGGACACGAATGCGCTTCAAGAAACGTGCACAAAAACACTCGCTACAAAAGATACGCACATAAGTAAGAGTACAAAATCATGCACAAAAGTACTCACGCAAAAGTGCATTCGAAAAAAGGTTCATGAAAACACAAACTACAATCCTAGGACATTAATACAAATCAACAAACATGCACAAACACACTCGCTCTAATGGACATGCACAAACGTACATGTAAAAAAACATGCGCAAAAGTGCATTCGCAACAACGTTCTTAAAAACACGAAATACAACACTAGGACTTTAATACGCATAACCAAACAACAGCAAGAACACTAGATACAAAAGATACAGTGGAGTGTAGAAATAACACTCAACGTTTACGTTTACGTGGATTTTTTTATGGATTAATTTATATTTATGTTTTAATTGGTGGATTCAGTATTCTATAGGTACAAATTGATAATGAGGTGCCCATGAAGCAAAAATGATAAAAGAGTAAGAAAAGAGTTGCAATTAGGAAAATAAAATCAAATTAGAAGAGAGGATCCCTCAACATCTTCGGTAGTGTCCACGAAGTCGAGCATAACTTTCTTATCCGGACTCCAAATCAACTGGTTCCGGCGGCATTAGAGAGCTATTTCAATTGGCAACGATTCCCGTCTAATGTCAATTTTCCAAATTCGGACTCGAACATGGTCAAAATTGGATTCCAAAAGCGATCATGAAAATACCCGCTACAGTTCGAGGACACAAATTGTAGCGCCCCGCCCCAAGTAGCAGGCACCTCGTGGCGGAACACCACTCAACATGCAGTACATTCAATGACCCCAAATATGCTCCTCAAAATTGCGATGATCAAAATATTAAACCCAATATCTATATCATCGTGTTTACAAAAGGAGGTTCTATTAAAAGTCGACTTCGACACCACTTACTCTATTACAAAATTCTCGATCAAAGGATTCCTATACGGAACATAAATAGAGATACCTCTCGACGAGACTAATCGGAGGCATACACGAGCTTTAACTCTTAGTACGAAAATTTAGGTATAAATCTTTCTTTTACCTGCGCATTAATATCAGAAAGGAGAAACGAATAAGTCCGAATGACTTAGTGAAAAACATATGATCCATGAGTATGATGAGAATCAACAGAACAGAACATATAACGAGAGAATTTACAAGAATTTCATTAACAGAAGTGTAACATGTACAAGAGTGTAACATGTACGGCTTGAGTTCAATATTTGGTGGGGTCTCCAACCTTGTAACTCCCAACAAATAAAATCATATGACATCCTTATCCCTCCACTCCGTCCCGAGTGGCCACTCGGTCGGAAACAAGCAAGAGGCACGACCAGAACGTGCCGATCCGGCTCAAGAACGTTTAACTCTAAACGAACGTGAGTCCGAACCATCAGGAGGTACCATTCGGGAGACCAGTCATCGTCAGCCCAATACTGCCCGATCGTCTTGCCGAAATGGTCCTAGGGCCCAGCTCCCCCAAGAGCGTCCTCAAGGGTGGGGACAGTAGGTTCAAGAATCAATATTATTCCTTTTAGGAATATCAAGTCATTCATTTCAAGAATCAAGTCAATCATTCACAAAATAAGTCATGATCACGATAATTGAATATCAAGTCTCAGGATAATGAACATGTTCAGATTTCAATTCAAGCCAATGAAAGAATTGTCGTGAATGTGGAATTCAAGTAGAACAATAAATTCCATGTCAGGTTCCAAGAACGAGTATATCAAGATCTCAATGAATTCAATAAACATGAGATTCAAGTTCGAGCAAACAAAATATTTATTCTCAGAAAGCATTCAAGACAAGATTTTGAGAATAAATATAGTTCAATATCGATTCAAGGAAAATGTTCAGGCCAAGGAATCAAGTATAGGAATTAGCCGTGAACATAGCAACCAAGAGAATTGACAAGTTCAAGATTTCAAGAACAAGATCAAGGTTCCAAGTTCGAGCCAAGAAAACAATATGCTCGCAAAACATTAAGGATCATATTCCAAGAAAAATATAATCAATGCATCAAAGGATTCAAGATGGAGAATATATTTAGTTCAAACAAAGGAGATATTAAGCGCAGGAAAGAAATCGGATAAGGAGTCATAGTTTCTCACCTGGAGTCCAATGCTAGTTCTATAGGTGCATCTTTAAGCTTAAACCTTGAGTGAGAGCTTTAGTACGCTCGACACCTATAAACATATTCATCACTTAACAAGATTCCAAATGCTAATATAATCGTATTATTCTACTATATCACATAGTCAATTTCTTGAAACATTTGTTACGAATGTCTTGCTGCCACAGCTTATTCGAACAATCGTTACGATCACCTTACTTATCCGAATAACCTAAACGATATATCGAATTAAAGCTAACATCAGTGTCTACAGGTTTACTGAAGACTCTGAGCCCAAATTATCGACCTAACAGAGTAATAACAGCCTCGGAAGATGAGTACATGAAACTGCCAGGTTTTTTTGGAAAATTTGTTGTTGGCACAGTTTGTTTGAAAAATCATAACAATTAGCATGCTAATCCAAATTGATCACATGATACGTCAAATGAAAGCTAACAGAAAATCCTACGAGTTCACAGAAGGCTTTGATCGCAAATTATGATCCCAACATATTCAAAACAGCCCCAAAAGATGACTACAGAAAACTGCCAGAATTTCGGATAAATTCTGTTTTCTGGTACAGTTTTGTAAAATTCATAACTATTTGTAAAGTTATCCAAATTGCCTATATAATACATCAAATGAAACCTTACAACTTAATCTACAAGTTTCATGAAGGCACAGAGCCCAAATTATGATCCCAACATATCGAAAACAGTCCCGCAAGAAGATACTCAAAACTGCCCTGTTTCCGGCAGATTACTGTCATCGGATTCGGACCTCAAAAACACGTATATTTGATATTCTAATTCGATACAATTGAACACTTACTTATAGTTTACGATGTCCTCTACGAGTTTCCTGAAGGAACCGATTCGAAATTCGCATTCGAAACCCTTCGATTTCGGCTCCGAAAACAGGTGCGGCAGCAGATTTTGCTTCCCTTCGTTTCAACGAGCGAGCTGAAGTTCTAGCCAATTCCGATGACCACCGCTGATGTAAACAATCAAGAACCAGCACCACTGGAAATCTAACTTATTAAGGTTTCGAACGGTACCTTCGGATCATCGATGCTCCATCTTTAAGACCTCCGTTTAATTGATTTACGGAAAAGGCAAAACTCTGAAATTGAAATTCTGGACAGCTCGTCTTCTTTGTCGGATTCCAGCCACCACCGCCGGCGACTGCTGCTGGAGACCACCACCACTATAAATCCGACTTCCCAATATTTCTAATCATATGAGCTGATCATTAATACCCTTTGCTAAAGCATCCACGTCGCCCCGATTATGCTGATAATATGAATTGGGTATTTCAGCCAAGAATCAATATAGAGAGAGAGAGAGAGAGAGAGAGAGAGAGAAGAGAGGAAGATAGAGAGAAAGAGAGAGACGGTGAGGTAGAGAGACGGTGAGGGAGAGAGAAGAGAAACGTGGCTGCCATAGAAGGAATTAGAATAGGCGAAGTACACGTCAATCCCTATCTCACTATAAATTCTGAAAATTGGCTACAAGGCCAAATTGTTTTCTTAATTACTAAATAGAAGCCATACTTTAGATAATTACAATTTCTACACTTCCCATCAAATTCAAAATATATTATAATCTCATATCGACACATATTAACTAATTAAATTCAATTATCCCCAGACTTAAACAACTTACATATTTACGGGGTGTTACACAAATGCGCATCAAGAAACGTGCACAAAAACACTCGCTACAAAAGATACGCACATAAGTAAGAGTAAAAAATCATGCACAAAGGTACTCACGCAAAAGTGCATTCGCAAAAAGGTTCATGAAAACACAAACTACAATCCTAGGACATTAATACAAATCAACAAACATGCACAAACACACTCGCTCTAATGGACATGCACAAACGTACATGTAAAAAAACATGCGCAAAAGTGCATTCGCAACAACGTTCTTAAAAACACGAAATAAAACACTAGGACTTTAATACGCATAACCAAACAACAGCAAGAACACTAGATACAAAAGATACAGTGGAGTGTAGAAATAACACTCAACGTTTACGTTTACGTGGATTTTTTTATGGATTAATTTATATTTCTGTTTTAATTGGTGGATTGAGTATTCTATAGGTACAAATTGATAATGAGGTGTCCATGAAGCAAAAATGATAAAAGAGTAAGAAAAGAGTTGCAATTAGGAAAATAAAATCAAATTAGAAGAGAGGATCCCTCAACATCTTCGGTAGTGTCCACGAAGTCGAGCATAACTTTCTTATCCGGACTCCAAATCAACTGGTTCCGGCGGCATTAGAGAGCTATTTCAACTGGCAACAATTCCCGTCTAATGTCAAATTTCCAAATTCGGACTCGAACATGGTCAAAATTGGATTCCAAAAGCGATCATGAAAATACCCGCTACAGTTCGAGGACACAAATGCGCATCAAGAAACGTGCACAAAAACACTCGCTACAAAAGATACGCACATAAGTAAGAGTAAAAAATCATGCACAAAGGTACTCACGCAAAAGTGCATTCGCAAAAAGGTTCATGAAAACACAAACTACAATCCTAGGACATTAATACAAATCAACAAACATGCACAAACACACTCGCTCTAATGGACATGCACAAACGTACATGTAAAAAAACATGCGCAAAAGTGCATTCGCAACAACGTTCTTAAAAACACGAAATACAACACTAGGACTTTAATACGCATAACCAAACAACAGCAAGAACACTAGATACAAAAGATACAGTGGAGTGTAGAAATAACACTCAACGTTTACGTTTACGTGGATTTTTTTATGGATTAATTTATAGTTCTGTTTTAATTGGTGGATTGAGTATTCTATAGGTACAAATTGATAATGAGGTGTCCATGAAGCAAAAATGATAAAAGAGTAAGAAAAGAGTTGCAATTAGGAAAATAAAATCAAATTAGAAGAGAGGATCCCTCAACATCTTCGGTAGTGTCCACGAAGTCGAGCATAACTTTCGCATCCGGACTCCAAATGAACTGGTTCTGGCGGCATTAGAAAGCTATTTCACCTGGCTACAATTCCCAGTGTAATATCAAATTTCCAAATTCGGACTCGAACATGGTCAAAATTGGATTCCAAAAGCGATCATGAAAATACCCGCTACAGTTCGAGGACACGAATGCGCATCAAGAAACGTGCACAAAAACACTCGCTACAAAAGACACGCACATAAGTAAAAGTACAAAATCATGCACAAAAGTACTCACGCAAAAGTGCATTCGCAAAAATGTTCATGAAAACGCAAACTACAATCCTAGGACATTAATTCAAATCAACAAACATGCACAAACACACTCGCTCAAATGGACATGCACAAACGTACATGTAAAAAAACATGCGCAAAAGTGCATTCGCAACAACGTTCTTAAAAACACGAAATACAACACTAGGACTTTAATACGCATAACCAAACAACAGCAAAAACACTAGATACAAAAGATACAGTGGAGTGTAGAAATAACACTTAACGTTTACATTTACGTGGATTTTTTTTATGGATTAATTTATATTTATGTTTTAATTGGTGGATTCAGTATTCTATTGGTACAAATTGATAATGAGGTGTCCATGAAGCAAAAATGATCAAAGAGTAAGAAAAGAGTTGCAATTAGGAAAATAAAATCAAATTAGAAGAGAGGATCCCTCAACATCTTCGGTAGTGTACACGAAGTGGAGCATAACTTTCTCATCCGGACTCCAAATCAACTGGTTCC